GGGCTGGGCAAAGATTTTTTAAATAAGACTTCAAAAGCACAGGCAACAAAAGCAAAAATAGACAAATAGGATTACATCAAACTAAAAAGTCTCTACACAGCTAAGGAAAACTTTAACAGTGTGAACAATGAAGATATTTGCAAACTATGCGTCTAACAAGGGCTTAGTATCCAAAATATGTAAGAAACTGAAACAAAACAACAATGAAAAAAGTCAAAATAAATAACTCATTAAAAATGGGCAACTGGGCCAGTCACGATGGCTCACACCTATAATCTCAGCACTTTGGGAGGCTGAGGTGGGAGGATCACTTGAGGCCAGCAGTTTAAGACCACTCTCAGCAACATAGCGAGACTGTTGCTATAACAGGGAGTTTAAAAAATTATCTGGGCATGCATACAGCCAAGATAATCCTAAGCAAAAAGAACAAAGTTAGAGACATCACTCTACCCTACCTCAAACTCTACCAAAAGTCTGCAGCAACAAAAACAGCATGGTATTGGTACAAAAACAGCAGACACATAGACCAATAGAACAGAATAGAGATCTGCAAAATAAGACCACACATCTATAACCATCTGATCTTCGACAAACCTGACGAAAACGAGCAATGGGGAAAGGATTCCCTATTTAATAAATGGTGCTGGGAAACTGGCTAGCCAGATGCAGAAAATTGAAACTGAATCCCCTCCTTAGACCTCATACAAAAATTTGTTTGTTTATTAAAATTAACTCATTTGGATTAAAGACTTAAATGTAAAATACAAAACTATACAAACCCTAGATGAAAATCTAGGTAATACCATTCAGGACATAGGCACAGGCAATGATTTCATAATGAAAATGTTAAAAGCAATAGCAACAAAAGTAAAAATTGACAAATGTGATCTAATTAAACTAAAGAGCTTCTGCACAGCAAAAGAAACTATCATCAGGGTGAGCAGAAAGAAACTATCATCAGAGTGAACAGACAACCTACAGAATGGAAGAAAATTTTTGCAACCTATTCATCTGACGAAGGTCTAATATCCAGAATCTACAAAGAACTTAAACAAACTTACAAGAGAAAAACAACTGCATTAAAAAGTGGGCAAAGGACATGAACAGAAAATTCTCAAAAGAAGACATTCATGTAGCCAACAAATGTATGAAAAAAAGATCAATATGACTGATCATTAGAGAAATGCAAATCAAAACCACAGCGAGATACCATCTTATGCCAGTCATAATGGCAATTACTAAAAAGTCAAGAAACAACAGATGCTGCTGAGGTAGTGAAGAAATAGGAAGGCTTTTACACTGTTGATGGGAATGTAAATTAGCTTAACCATTGTGGAAGACAGTGTGACAATTCCTTAAAGACCTAGAAGCAGAAATACCATTTGACCCAGGAATCCCATTACTGGGTATATACTCAAATGAATATAAATCATTCTATTATAAAGATACATGCATGTATATGTTCATTGCAGCACTATTCACAATAGCAAAGACATGAAATCAATCCAAATGCCCATCAATGATAGACTGGATAAATAAAATGTGGTACATAGACATCATGGAATACTATGCAGCCATAAAAAGGAATGAGATGGAGCTGGAAGCCATTATCTTCAGCAAACTAATGCAGGAACAGAAAACTAAATGCGGTGTGTTCTTACTTGTAAGTGGGAGCTAAAAAATGAGAACACATGGACCAGGGAGGTAAACGACACACACTGGGGCCTGTTGAGGTGGGAGGGAAGGAAGAGCATCAGGATAAATAGCTAATGTATGTGAGGCTTAATACCTAAGTGATGGGTTGATAGGTGCAGCAAACCACCATGGCACACATTTACCTGTGTAACAAACCTGCACATCCTGCACATGTATCCTGGGACTTAAAATATTATTAAATTAAATTAAACAAATTTTCTGGGCACGGTGGTATATACCTATAGTCCTAGTTACTTGGGAGGCTGAGGTAGAGGAATTGCTTCAGCCCAGGAGTTCGAGGCTATAGTGAGCCACGATCAAGCCACTGAATTCCAGCCTGGGTGACAGAGATTCTCTTTAAAACAAACAAACAAACAAACAAACTTTAACAGACATTTCTCAAAAGAAGTCATACAAATGGCCAACAGGTATATGAAAAAAATTGTCAGCCTCACTCATCATCAAGGAAATGCAAGTCAAAACCACAATGAGCTACCATTTCACTCCAGTTACAATGACTATTATCAAAACAATAAATGAAAATAAGCATTGGTGAGGATGTAGAGAAAAAGGAACACTTACTGTTGGTGGAAATGTAAACTAGTATGGCCATTATGAAAAACAGTATGGTTGTTTCTCAAAAAATTAAAAATAGAACTACCATATAACCTAAAAGCTTCACTACAGGGTGTATAATCCAAAGAAAGGGAAATCAGTATGTCCAATAGATATCTGCACTCCTATGTTTATTGCAACGCTATTCACCATAGCCAATATATGGAATCAACCTACATGACTAACAACAAATGAATAGATAAAGAAAATGTGGAATACACATAATGACATACTATTCAGCCACTAAAAAAGTATGAAATCCTGTCATTTGGAATAACATGGATGACACCGTCTTAAGTGAAATAAGCTACACACAGAAAGACAAATACTGCCTAGTCTCACTCATAAGTGGATTCTGAAAAAAAAACTTAATTTGATAGAAGTCTAGAAAGTAAACAGTAGAACAATGGTTAACAAAGACTAGGGAGGGCTTGAGGGAGGAAGGATGGGGAGAGGTTGCTCAACAGGTACAAAGTTAGGAGGAATAAGTTCTGATGTACTATTGCACAGAAGGTGACTATGGTTAACAGTAAGGTATTGTTTGTATATCACAAAATAGCTAGAAGAGAGTTTTTTTAAATGTTATCACCAAAAATGCATGAGGTGATGAATATCCTATCTTGATTTGATTGTTATATAACATATACATGTATCAAAACATAAAATTGTACCCCATAAATATGTATAATTACAATGTGTCAACTAAAAAAATAATTGAACTGTCATCTTATTCACCTTTACCACACATTGGTCATATTTCTGACCAATCTACATTTTTTTTTTTTTTTTTTTTTGGGAGGGGGTTTCACTCATGTTACCCAGGCTGGAGTGCAATGGCGCGATCTCGGCTCACCGCAACCTCCACCTCCTGGGTTCAGGCAATTCTCCTGCCTCAGCCTCCTGAGTAGCTGGGATTACAGGCATGCACCACCATGCCCAGCTAATTTTTTGTATTTTTAGTAGAGACGGGGTTTCACCATGTTGACTAGGATGGTCTCGATCTCTTGACCTCGTGATCCACCCGCCTCGGCCTCCCAAAGTGCTGGGATTACAGGCTTGAGCCACCGCGCCCGGCCCTGACCAATCTACATTTTTATGATCATAGGTGAAACTGAGTATGACCCTACAAAATTAACACTAGATATTCTCATGAAAAGCAAAGGGTTTGCTTCATGTGACCTTATTCTATTTGCAGAAGCGATATTCTCTTCTACTCCTACTTAGGAAATACCAAGCACTGGAATGGCAAAATATCTCTTCTTTACAAAAGTTAACCAAGAAGAGAACTGCAAGCTACTGCATGGAACGGATCCCTCCTCCCTTCTGAGATGGACAAGAAAATTGCATAAAGAAGTACTAGTTAAGGTGTGGTCCATAGACAGAGACTATCTGTGAACTGTTTGTGATCAGTAAATACAGAAGTTGATGGGTGGGGCATGGGGGTGGGTGCCTGTAATCACAGTTAGGAGAGAGGATTGCTTGCGTTGGAGTCCATCCTGGGCAATAGCGAGATGCTCTCTCTAAAAACAAAACAAAACAGAGAAAACTCGGCAGGCCAGCAAATGGGACATTGCCCAGGTCAAATGGCTGAGCCTCTAATTTTTGGGGCAATCCACTCTGTGATTGTTGTTGCTGTGCATACCTTATTTTAAAAAAAAAAGAAAATAAAAGAAAGTGAAAATGTTCAGAACATTTACAGCACGTTGGCATTGTCCTGATAACCAAGCTCCTGATCAGCAGACTCTATTCAGCCAGGTATAGGGCAGTTCAGTGTTGTCAAATTTGTGATTCACATGAGGCCAGGCTGTTTACTGATAATGCATAAAGGACCACATCCTGGTTCTCGAAGAATTTGGGGGTAGGGGAGAAGGAGGGAGAAATTGGTCCTTCAAGACGGGTAGTTTGAGAGCACTGATGTAAACTATAGTTTCACACTGTTGTAGTATAATTGATTATTAATCCACAACAGGTCATTTACACTAAGTCGGAAAAAAGTGGAAATATCAGATATGTGGGATATGCATCACCTTGTACATTTCTCAGCTGGAAAAGTGTAAAACATCTCAATTTTGCACCTCCCTTTTCAAACGAGTGTTTGGCTGAATCAGTGGTAGCTCTAAGCGCTCGTCCTAGAGCGAGTCCTGCCATCTTGTGGTTGAAGATGCTAACTGCAACAGAAGAGCAGGCTTTGACATCAACAGTTCTGATTGGGTAAAAAGACCCTCGCCTTGGGGTAGTTCTCTTTTGTAGTCCCAGAGTCAGTCACACACAAACGCCCTCTTCCCGTTAAGTCCATTTTAAACAACTGAATGGACTTTAGGGAAAGGTAAACGTATTCTTTAGGAATCTTTAAATAGCATTTTTGCCCTTTAGCAGAAGTCTGATTCATGAGCAGACGCTAAATACCGTGTGCGTGCATTTTGAATGAATTCATTTCTACGCTATTTTATAGGAGTGTTGAATAGCGGGGAACTGGAACCTCTCCAGGGGTAACCAAACATTGTCATGAAGAAGACGACAAAGAGGGATTGAAATGTAGCTGTTGATTTCAACACACAAATTCTGGTGGTATTTGAAGGCAAAGCAGGTAAGTTTCTTCGAATCCCTAAATAGTCGGCTGCTGGTAGAGACGGACTGCGCAGGTTAACTACAGCTCCCAGCATGCCTGAAGGGCGGGCCCAGCGGCTGCGCAGATTGGCGCGCGCAGGAGGTCATGGGACTTCAGCATGGCGGTGTTTGCAGATTTGGACCTGCGAGTGGGTTCTGACATGAAGGCTCTGCGCGGGCTGGTGGAGACAGCCGCTCACCGTGAGTTGCCCTGGCTTCGCGGGCAGCAGCGCCTGCCAAGTCTCATGATACTCAGACCATAGGGCCACACTCGGGAGGAACTATTTCCTGATGGGTCTCGGTCAGGTCTCCTGGAGTCTCTGGGATGTCCCTGGAGACTGATGACAGCCGAGGTGTTGGTCTGATACCTGGCGCGGGAAACTCGAAGGTTCTAGGGGTTATTTGGTTCCGCTCCTTTCATGCAGTGAGGGAACTGAGGTCCAACGAGGGCGAGGGATTTGCGTAGGGGCCTACAGCTGATAGATGACAGAAGCCGGATCTGGACTCCAAGTGTACAATCTCCTAAGCTTCTAAGTTACCATCAGCCCTTCCAGACTCTTACGACAGTATCTAAACAAATGCTGGAATTTGGGGCCCGGACAGGAAGCGTCTTGGAGGCCCCGAGGGGGAAGATGTGGAAGTGTTGGAACAATATTATCTAGACAGAGAGAGGGTATTGGGGGCGGAGGACAGCATGGCCCAAATCTAAGGGAAGCGAAAGGCTTGAGAGACGAGAACCTGTTTTCACTATTGGAGTTAGTCATCAGTTCTTATTCCTTAGACTGTAAGGTGTGGAGCTAGAGAGATTAAAAAGAATCAAGAGGTTCGTGCAGTAACATCTCAGAGACAGTTCTCAGCTCACTGTGAGGTCTGGTTACTGATACTCTTCAGAGATGGTGCTAGAAATGACAACCACTTCTTGGCAAAATGAATCACACCATTTTTTCTTGTCCTCTTTATGAAATATCGTAACGAAATGACTTTCCCTTTCTACTGCTGCCACTAAATGAACATTATCTCTGGGGTACTTTGTCAATCAGTAGGAAGAGGAAAGTAGACATGATGATATGGGCCATTTAGCGTTAATGTTCTTTGATCCTGTAAAATAAATTTTCCTGTGTGTAGCTACTTGCAATTATAACCTACTCAATGAGGCTTTTCCTGATGCCATCCCATTTTTTAATAAATCATGAGCTTCTGAAGGTAATTGCCATGTTTTATCCTTTTATTTACTATGCGTAACACATTACTCTGCAGGCACTGGTGCGTGCCAGTTACTCAGTTAATGCTTGTGGAATAAACTGAACACCTTAGAAAAATCGATACAAAAAAGAAAAGTTATACTGATTTCTTTAGAGAATTTCCCCCAATTTAAAATACACTTGAAAGAGGTGTGGTAATATATGTACATTGTTAGTGGTTTTTCGTTTAGAAATTAAATGAAATTCATGGCATATGACAAAGTCACCTCAACTTACAAGTCAAAGACAAAGGACTGCTATTTGATGAGTCTGGAAATAAATAGTAGACATTTTCAAAGAATAGGAAAGACAGAGCCCTCGTTCTTAGTTTCTGATGTGATATAAGAAACCAGTGATAAGCTTCAAAAATATACTGTGTAAATTAAAATACACTAATGCTTGACTGGGGAAGTATTTCTAAACTGCCAGATGAGGAGTAGTCTAGGAAAAAGTTTTATAGAGAAACAGAATCTAGCTGACATTTCTGTAGAACGGTAGGGATATTGTTTAGTAGCTAAAAAGATACCCCAAATGGGGTATAACAAGGAAGTTGAGAGCAGATTTGGGAGTGTGGTAAAGAATAAAGGGGAGGAGGTGTGGCTGGTTGATTTGATTAACTGGGTACGAGGTGAAGCCCAAAATACAGGCATACTTCTGATTTTTTTTGTTTTTAAGGGTAACTTACTCCAGGGAGCCTTTTGTGACTCCTGCACCAGGTTTCATTGTGCTATATACTTCCATAGAATCTTTACTTATAAAAAAACATGTATTTATATGTAATGACTTGCTTAATTGACTGTTTGCCTTAGTTCTCCAACTTGTGGACCAGGATTGTATTATTTATCCTGTATACGCAACACCAGTTTAGGGCTTGTCAAGTAATGGTTGCTCAGTAAATATTTGAGGGAGGTAGGGAAAAAGGAAGTTGGACAAACTGTTTTAAGTTTGGCATTAATATATATTTTAATATTACTGTCCTTTCATCCCCATTCGTATTTTTAAAAACTTAAAGATGGGAGTCATGATTTAGATTTTTTTTGGTAGCCCAAATGTCCAGAACAGTACTAACTGATGAGGATTGTAGGGCTGTTGGCCCCACAGGGTCATGGGGTGTCCCTTATGCTGTGCTGAGGTACAGGATCCAAGAAGTAAAGAGACAGGACACTGAAGAACTGGAGAAGAGCAGCTGGACTCCGGGGGTCACACCACCTATGAGCAGAGACAGGCGAGGCCCTGAATGCCCAGAAGTGTCTGTATTTATCAGGCAGAAGCAGGGGTAAGTGTCGTAAGTGAGGTCATCATCTATAGGCTTAGTGATAGGGTGAAATAATCATGTGAGTTACAAGTGAGGGGGCCACCCCATTATGTCACCTGGGCAGAGAGGTGAGCCTTGCCCAGTAGGGGGCCATGCTGTGTGCAGTAGTAGAGGGTCGAGTACAGAAAAGGGGTCCACCCCCATTAGGTCACCGAGGCAAGGAGGTGGGCTGTGTGCAACAGGTGGCCTGTGCAACACTTCTTATCTGGGGGCTAGAGACTTCAAAGGGTTTCTAATAGAAAGACACTGTAAGCCAATGCAGTCGGAGCTGACAGACTTGTGCTCTTCTCTTAAGATATTTATGGGAGGATGGTTTAAGCTAGCACACAAGTGAGAAAAGAATGACAGGGTGTACAGGTGCCGTCACTGGTCACACCAGAGGGGTGCTTCTCCCTTGGTTATTTTCAGGATCTCAGGCCTGAGGCCTACTTTCCACAGAAACTGGATGCAAGGTGCTACAACTCCTTTATCAAGGTGCTACAACTCCTTTATCAGACTCTTGCTCCAAGTCTGCCATACTGTGTGTACCCTTTCAGGCAGGGACACCTCCGCCTGGGTCTTTGGTTCTTGTCCTTGTCTGGCTGTTTTCCCATGTACTGCTTATGTTCTGTGACTGCTCTAGGCATTCCTCCTACTACAAACTACTATATGGTTATACAGAAGGATTGTATAAATCAGCACCAAATGTGTCAGTACAGTTCCAACTACATCTGTTATATGATTATATAGAAAGATTATATGGAGCTAAGTATGACTATATATATAAGCTAGATATAGTAAGCAGTGAGGCACTTATACTTCAGGCAGTAATTGTGCCTGAGGTCTGCACAGTTCTCCTTCCTCGGTGCCATGGGGGGTGTTACCCACAAGGATAATAAAGCAAGCCTTTGACCTCAAAGAGTTCCCAGTCTGTCGATGGTGTGCACTCAAAATGGGAAGTGGGCAGTGGTGTGAGGGAGTCATCAGTCCATTTCTCCTTAGGAAGGAGTCTCTGGCAAAAGTAGAAGGGTAAAAAACAAAAGAAATGAACAAGAATAAAAGTGACAGTGGTAAAGTAAGAACTCGATGGGATGACAATGAATACAGGGACATGAAAGAGAATGATAGTTGAAAAGAAGCACAAAGTTAAGAGTCTTTAATATCATGTTAATAATAATTTGTAATGGTTAAAAAAAGACCTATGGGCCAGACACTGTTCTCAAACACCTCATGTGTATTATTTCATTTATATCTCATGACAAGTATATGAAGTAAGTGTTATTATCACCATTTGACAGTTGAAGAACCTGAAACTTCACGTTAAGTAACTTGTAAGTGGTAGTGCCTAGACTTTAAATCAGGCAGGCTGATGCTAGAGTTTACGTTCATAACCATTCCTCAAATGGCCTCCTGCTCTTGACATCTAGAATCAGGATGGACCTGTGTGTACAGGAAGGATAGGTTGTTATCTTTAACAAAAGTGTTCAATTTTTCTTTTCAGTTGGCTATTCAGTTGTTGCCATCAATCATGTCATTGACTTTAAGGAAAAGAAACAGGTAAAATAATATTTCTGAAGTTAAGTTCATAAATATTTGTAACCTGTTTATATTGGTAATTTGGGAGCTACAGATTAGAATATTTCTTAAATGCACTCCTTTATATACTATTACTTTCCTATTTTATATGTTAACAGTTGAGCTGATGCATATTTATACAAACAATCAAGATATTTATGAGGTACTATGACATAGTGTTCAGGATTCTTAAAGTTGATTTGAAATTAAGTTACTTTCACTGTTTAAAAAGTGCATTGTTGGCTGGACTGTAATAAAAATATTGTCTTTTTAATTTTATTGTCATGGACTTATTAACTAGTTTCTCTCTTAAACATTACTAGTAAGTGTGTATTTCTCTTTAGGCCAACAACTGTATCCTATAGATTATTTCAGTCTAAAAATTAGTTTTCATTCTTCCTATTCACTGATGTTTGCAGTTCCTTCTCTATTTAACTTTCTCTTTAAAAATAATTTTAAAAGCCTTTTTGAAAACCAGAAATCACCTAGCTTTTAAAAAAAAATGCATTTTTTTTCTGAGATTCCCCTTGTAATTTTTCCATTATGCCTGTGCTATTGATGTATACAATCTGTGATGACTATTTATCGTTTGTTTTAGGAAATTGAAAAACCAATAGCTGTTTCTGAACTCTTCACAACTTTGCCAATTGTACAGGTAGGTGTTTTGTTGTTTAAGAAGCATAATATCTATTTATTCAGTTAAAAGATACCTAATTATGTGTGCTATTCTCTAACTGGAGTTGTACCTTACTCTGCCTACCAGTCTTACATTTTCCTCAAGGCTCAGCTCTTCAGGAAACATTCTTTTACCATTAATTCAGTACTATGATGATCTTCTTTCCTGAAGTCCTATGACTTTTAAATTATTGTATAGTTTAAGATACATACATCTCTTTCTGTGGCTGTATTGTAAATTCCTAGAGAACAAGGACTGGGTTTTATTTATCTTCACTATCCCTTATAGCCAGTACCTTTTAATGAATACTTTCTGTGGGTAAAAAGGAAAATCAGTCAGTTATCTTTTGTGCTTCTTTGACAGCATGTTTTTTTTTAAATAGGGAAAATCAAGACCAATTAAAATTTTAACTAGATTGACAATTATTGTGTCCGATCCATCTCACTGCAATGTTTTGGTGAGTTAATTATGTTTCCTCTCTCCTTTTAGCTTTGTAAGTTGTACTGATTAATGTTGAACAATGTTGCATTTTTTCTTACCCTATTTTTACATTTTCCCTCACCCCCTCTAAACCATGACACCTGCCTACTCTCCTTGTCCTCAGAATTCACACAGTGTAACATGTCTATTCTACTTACTGGTGGCACATGTGTAATGATACCACAATTAAAGAATCCCTTGGCAACTGTTATTCGTTAAACTCACATGCCCCAGACTTAAGGTAGGTGCTGGGGGTTATTGCCATGAATAATATGAGCTCAATCCTTGAACTTACAAAGCTTAAAGTTTAAATGGCAAGATAAGCACTGAACAAATAATAATTACAAATGGTGCTCTGGGAGTATGTAACCTGAGTAAGTTGATATTGAAGCTGGGAGACAGAAGAATCAGTAAATGTTATATAGGTGACAAGCAAGGAGCAAGTGTTCCCAGATAGAATGGATTATGCATATTGAAGCCAAGGTATTTTCTGGGAAGTGAAACAAAACCAATAGGGCTAAGTTTAGCGAGCCAGTTACATGGGATGAGGTTAGGGACATAAGCCTGGGTGAGGATTCCAACAGCAGTTGGAAGCCCCTGAATGTTTTAACAAAGGGAGTAAAATTATGACGTTTGAATTACAGAGTATGAATTAGAAGGAGTTAAGGAGGGGACTTAAGAGGCTCCAGGAGGGAGAATTGATGGGATTTGTTGGTTAATTGGATGATGATTACTCACTCCTTAGGTGGCCTGAGCAGCCAGGTAGGTAGATAATGGTATCATTTCCTGAGATGGGCCATACAAAACAAGCAGGTTTGGGGGAATCATGATGAGTTACTATGAGAGTTTCAAAGTAGCCCGTTAAAAAAGATGTGCATGGTGGCTCATGCCCGTAATCCCAGCATTTTGGGAGGCCTAGGCAGGTAGTCACTTGAGGTCAGGAATTCAAGACTGGCCTGATGGATGTGGTAAAACCCCATCTCTACCAAAAATTCAAAAATTAGCAGGGTGTGGTGGTGGGCGCCTGTAATCTGAGCTACTCGGGAGTCTGAGGCAGGAGAATCACTTGAGCTGGAGAGGCAGAGGTTACAGTGAGATCACACCACTGCACTCCAGCCTGGGCAACAGAGCCAGACTTCATTTCAAACAAACAAACAAACAGATGTGGCCTTCAGAAGAGTGATCCCAATTAAAGATGTTTCTTTGGAAGTGGTCACCTGCAGTGAATAATTGAAATCATGGGAATGGATGAGACTCCCTGGACACAGTGCATTGTGGGAAGAAGAGGTTTAGTACAGAGTGCTAAGAAACTTAACTATGTAGTGGTAGGAAAGAGGATGAGCTCGGATTGGAGACTGAGGAGGGACTACCCTAGAAGTAGAAGGACAGCAAGTAAAGGGAAAACAGAAAAGGAGGAATGAAAGGTCAGCAGAGTTAGTACACCTGTGTAGTCGAGCAGAAAGGCCAAAAAAAAAGTCTGTCAGA